TGAAGAATTGTCATGTTAATCATAGGATTTCAACACAGAGAAATACATATTTTTTATTCTACTGTTAAGAACCGCTTCAGCTTACATAAAAACTAAAGCCTACTTTAAAGTCTTTTGGAATAATCTTGAAAAAAAAAAATTAAAATGCATAAATTTGCAGTAATACTGAAAGTATGTATTGAAATTAATGTTTTATTTAAATATAATAGTGCACGTTTTCGACATTATTTTAGCTCTTCTTAACTACTATTTTTTTAAAATGTATAAGTATTTTTTAAGCATAACTGTATAGTACTTTCATATTTTTATTAAATATTACAAGAGGATGTTGTAATTTTTTACAGAAATTTTTTCTAAAACTTAAGTAATAATAATACGTAAACACTCTTCATTGTTTCTCTGCGATTGTCAAAATTTTTATATTTACACATATTACATAAGCAAATCGATTAAGTACAATTGATTACACTATTATTTTAATGGTATTAAGTAATTAAAATATAGCAAAAATCTGATGTGATCAGCACATAACCGACCGCAATGTGTATTGTCTCGTTTAGCGTAAGTATTACAGAAGATTATGAAAATGTCTTTTAAACACTTCTTTAAACTTTTAAGGAAATTCGTAAGCTTTTAGTTAACATACCTATAAAAATGAAATTTTGGCTCTTAGTAGAGTTTTACTTTACGCCAACCGAATTCCCCGAGAAGTTCACAAGTCAGTTTGTATTCACCAGAAGTTTACCAATTAACTCAAATATTAAATTTCAAAAAATTCCATCAATTAGTTCTGTAGATATGGTAAAAGATGTAAAATCGAACCTTAATTCAGTTTCCGAGCACTGATATTTCCAAAAAGTTTATTAGTTTATTCTTTTAAAACGCCAAATTTAAATATTATATTTCAACGAAATGAGTTTATTACTTCTCCTTATATGGGCGAAAATGTAAAATCAGCCCAGAAAAAGGACTAGTTTCTAGGGCCTGATATATCACAAGAGCTGATCAATCCGTGACATACCCAAAATAAATTTTAGATGCACGCGTGAACACACCAACCAAAAGACGGACAGACATACCAGCATTTTTCTAAAAGAAATTTGTCACATAACTTCCCTAATTTCAACACAACTGTACTGCATCGCAGTCGTAAAATAAACCCTATTTAAGTTAAGGCAAACGTAGAAAATAATAGAAATTATCTTCTAAATAACTGTAGCTAGATTAACTAGTGAGTCTGTGTTGTAAGATCGACTCGGTATTGGATTTTGTATAACTTTGTATCATTGCAAATATCACAATCATATTTTGTAATTGATCCGCATGCAATATTTTTTTAAGAAAAAACCCAAATTTAAAATTGCCTCCACTTTTGAACTTCAGAATTATCTAAAAACTATAATCACCAAAAACTGAAAATAAATACAATATACTTTAAACATTTTTAATATGTATATTTACAAAATACTTACACTTTATGCATTTTTAAATAAAACCTTATAGAATTAATAAAAGCACCTTATGTTCCTGAATAAAAAATTGTCTAACGTAACCAAATAATTATATTTCATTACCAATGTTTTTATTTTCACCTGACTATGAAGAACTAGAATAATACATGCAATATATATATGTATGTATGTATATTTAATGTAATATAAAGATGCTTGGATCATTGCTTGTACTGAACATTTAATTTAAACCGTTAATATATTACACCCTTTTTCACATTATTTAAGATATTATTATTGTTAACGAGCATTTTTATACACCATCATCAATTTAAAACAGCTGTAAAGATTTTAAATTTACATTTTCATTTATGCCAGTTTATCAAAGTATAAAAACAGAAAAGAAATAAAAAAAAATTTAATAAAAAATAAATAAAAATGAATTCATAATACTTTAACAGCTTGTAATACTTTTATTGATGCTGAAAGAATTTTAACGCTATACAATTTACGATTTGTTAGGAAAATATTGTAGAGGTACCTCTACATATAAGTAGAAATATTGTTACATTTCAATGTTAAAATGCTGCACACCATATTTTTTTATTTTAAAATATTCTCAAACATTTGCGTACATCTAGGTGTTCTAGGTAGATACTATTTGCAATGGAAAATTATAGGAGTGTTAGTAAAATTATGTACCTACGTGTGAAGTATCTTTTGGCAACCAATTTACAGTTTTAATTCCCATTTTTATTTTTTATTTCTTCTATTACTTTCAATTTTTTTAAGCTTCTTCCTTGTGCTTTCTCTAATACTAATATTACAAAAGAGATCCAGGTGCTTCTGATTTTAAAAAAGCATTAAGTATTAAAACAATAACACGTCAAATCGACAATAATAATAATATGTAAAAAAAAAAAATATGATGAGAATTACAAAAACGAAAAAAAATGAATTATTTCGCGTTTCTTTCTTATCCTCAAATTATTTATATAAAAGTTTCCACGATGATGTTTTGTAAGTGTTGGTTATATGATTATCTGGGGAATAACATTGTTTAAGAGAGAAAGAATATTATAACTTATAGAAGAAGAAAAGTATAGGTGTAATGATGAAACATCATTTGTCTAGACAATTTAAAGTGTTTTCTGCATTAAAAAAATTGTAGATTTTTTTTTTTTAAATATGTATAAAGGCATCAAAATATTATGCCTTAGTTTGATATTTTTTTTTAAGAAATAAATAACCTTTTCCTTTAATACATCATTGTTCAAGAACATTTTTACACCTTAGTACCTATGAAGGTAGTATTAAAATTACTTAAAGAATATCTCTATCGAAAAAAATTAACGATCTGGAATATTTTTAATGAAAAAGTACATAATTATTATAACGTTGTCGAGTAAATCTTTTTAATAACATTGTCCTTTTTTCAATTTTTTAAGAATTATTAATTTGAGCACAATTTTTTTCTTAAATAACATAAATTTCTGTGTTCACATTTGTATACATATTGCGTCAATCTTTCTTAAAATTTATGGGTATTCTAACAAAACTTATCACAAAATTGAACTTTGATACATTTAGAATGGTAATTATGATTTATGGAGAAAACAGGATGTTTAGTCATTTCAAAAAATACATAGCTGTCTTTTATTTGAGTACACTTGTAAATTCGTTTAAAAAAACAGCAGTGATGAAAGTAAGAGATAAAGTAAAAATAAAATCTTTATACACTCTGGAATACTTTTGATTTAATTTTATTATTTGTCCTACAACGAAATAAAAATTTTAAATTGAAAATAATTAATTTTTAATTATTTTCAATTTAAAATTAACTCGGAATTTAATACTATAAAAAGCTAAACATTCTGCCAGCAGTAATTTACAAATATATTATAGTTACAATATTCGAAATAATCCACATATTTTCATAAATAAATTGTTTATCGTAATATGTATATTTCCCAAAAACCATTTCCAGAATTATATAAATTCCTAATATAAAGCAAATGGAATCTTTTTTTTTTAATAAAATTGAAATTAATTTAAAAACAAGATTTTACTCTTAATAAAATTTCTTATTTTTTTGAAATATTTTGAGACCTTATTGAAATTTTAATAATTGAAGGTCTATACGCCTTCATATATAAATTTTGTTTTCAATTCAATTTGAAATATGATTCCAACCACCAAATTGGTTGAATCTGAAATTCTATGTTGAAATTAATATCATTTAAAATTAAAATATTCAAGCATATTTTTTTTTTTTATAAAAAGAGTAGGTAGCTATGGTGAAAAAAATTAATATAAAAATAAATTCGTATATTTATAAGACCGTGAAAATTGACCTATACAACAAAACTTTGAAATTTCGCCAAAAAAAAAAAAATTATTTTGTCGATAAATATTAGTGTAAAATGATTTTACAAAATACATACATATATACATAAATAATTCAATTTAAAGGTTTCAATTATTGAACATTTTATTTTTTTATTTTCAATATTTTTAATTAACTTTAATGTCCTTTTTATAGAATTATTTGGTTTTAATTTTTGTTGTATATAGTAGCTACGTTTTTGTATTTACAAAGCGGAAAAAAATAATAAATTAAATTTGTTTTGTTTTTTTTTTTCAATTTATTTTTTGTTTTACTAGAAACATTTTTATCTACAAGGATATTTTATTATTTATAGTACAGGACTACATTATTTCCTTTTTTATTATTTTTGCTTTTGTTTTTTTTTTTCAAATCAATAAAATATTTTATGCTTTTATATTTCTTTTTTGTTTTCTTTTCTGTGTTTTAATAATAAATATATTATAGTATCTACTTCATAAACAGGATATTAAATTAGAATATTTTTCTTTATTTTTTAAACTTTTTAATTTATTTTTTTTTTTTTTCAAAATACATTTATATTTAATTTTTTCTATGAAAGATTTTCCAGAAGTTTTCTAATAATATATATAATTTTTTTTTAATATACGACATATTATTATGAATAACATATTATTTTAAATTTAATTGAATTGAACACAAAATGCATGCATTTATTTTGCAGAGACACTTATCCTTCTACATTTTATTGCATATGATGTACATGTATACTTATACATATTAAATACAAGTACATTAATGTATATATCTTTATTTCATCTAAATATACTTTTATTTTCTCTTTTATAACACATTTTTTTAAAAATATATAGGTTTGCGTGGCTTTTTTTTAAATTTCTGTTTTAATTTTTTATGATAAATCAAAACTTCCTTCTGAAAAAAATTATTCCTGTTTTTTCTATTTCCCTTTCATACTCTCTTTATTTCTTTCCATATACAATATCCTATTTTTTTTTTATTTTTTCTTAAATTAAATTATATATAAATTTACTGTCATTTATACATAATATTAAATTTTTTATTTTTACATTTTAATGTTTTACTTTTTTTTTTAGCTTTCATTTCAAAAATTAATTTTATAATATTTCCTCTTTCCATCTGCTTTATTTATTTTTTTTTTGTATTCGCTTCTCACTTAAAAATTATTTTTCAATTGGTGTTACATCAGTCTGTTGTATAACTTTACCATCAGATGATAATTCAATTTTAGTTTTACCAGGACTTCCTGTAACTGTACCTTCACCGGAACCTTTAACAGTAAATGTTACATAATAACGTTTATTACTATCTAATTTTTCTGATGGTAATGATATCAGTTGTTTAGTTTTTCCATGTGATAATTCTAAAGAGACTCTTGTACCGCCAGCACCACCACTGCCACTAATAACAGTTTTAGTATTTGATGTACCACATTTGACAGGACTTGTTAAAATTTTTGGTAAATAAAAACTACCAACACCAGATTTTTTATAAGAACCAAAACCAAATTTTGGCATTGTATGGTGATTCATCATTGGAACTGAAAATGATTATAAGAAAGAGAAAGAAAAAGAAAAAAAAAACATGAGTAAAAATTTTTATTGAATTAGATTTCAATTTATGAGAAAAATTTTTTGGAAAAAAGAAAAGTTATGACGTGTTAAGAAGGAGAAAACGAAAACAACAAAAAAAAAACTGAGAAAAAACAGAATTTTAAGAACTTTTCTTCTGTTTACATAATATATACATTTATATATATATATATATATATATATATGAACAGACTTGCAAAATTCTAAAAATTTACTTGTACAAGTTATTTTTGTACACTTATTATGAAAGATCTTAAAGCTGGTATGCATAACATTCAAACATATATACAAACATACATCTATCAACACAAAAGTTAAGAGAAAAACGTGAGATAGATTTTTAATTTTTAAACAAGAATTTTTTTTTTTTACAATTTTTTATTTTTATTTGAGAAATATTTAAACAGTTGTCACTTAGGATAAAAAAAAATATTCTCTTTTGTTGGTTTTTACGAGTACTTATTGAATTTTACAAAAAGGGGGGAAAACATAATGTACTCGTACTATGGTACGTTGATAGTGTATTTTTCTCGGTTGATTACATGTTTTTCTGAGTTTCGTGTCATTAACTTGCATTAAGATCTAAATTAAGTAAACGTATCTGCTGCTAATAATTTAGTTTTCCATAAAATCGTCTTATCAAATAGACATTAACAATTTTTTTTTATTTCTGCATAACATTAACTTTATTATCTCAAATTTTACTAGGATGCCAATAATTTTTCTTCTGAAAAATAGATAGTCTAACAAAATTTAAAGCAATATTTTTATCATGATGTATATCAATGAGTTTCCGGTATAAGTTAAAGTATTTGAAAAGCAGCAATGTATTTAAGTAAACCATACGTTTCCATAACTAAAACTTGAAAAGTAAATTAAAAATTAATGTAAATATGTCGAAACCGACTTCAATATCAAGCTATGTCTCAATATTTTAAAAAATTTCTGATACAATTATTATTAATTGCGTTGCCAAATTTTTAATCAGAAAAAAAAGACAATAAAATAATTTACAAATATAAGCATATCAACTGCATCGCTCCTAGAAAAAAACAAGCTGAATATAGAGCAATGATTTTCAATCTGATATTAAAAAATTATCGATAACGCTATATACACAATGTTGCATCTTATGCATCGAGAATATAAAATTTATTCTAAAGATTTTTTAATTTTTGTTTTTACAAAAATTTTCCATTAAATATCATGAATCCATGAAGATAAATTGATATAATGCCACTTGAAGAAACTCTACTTACAATTTTAATGTTTTATGAATTTTTTTTTTTCACAACTATTCATTTATAATAAATCTATTATATAAGATGTTATAAGAAACAGATTCGATGTAATATAAGATTATAAATTTTCTCAATTTATATAGATTTTAATGTTTTGTAATATTAGTAATCGTAGATATTTATACATTTATATATTGAAAATATAGAATGCTGTGTCACCCTGTCCAATAACAGGAAGAAAATGGAAGAAGTTGTACAAGAAAAAAACAGAAAAGTAAAATGTTATAAAACAATTTATGTCACGTTCAGTCGCAACTTAAATTATTAAAAATTATTTCATATAAAAATGTTTTAAAAATTTTGAACAAATAATTTTTAGTTAGAGTGTGTGTTATGAATTAAATTTTGTACACAAGTTATTTTAATCTCATAAAATTATTTTAGTATGATTGTTGCATTTTAAAATTTAATGTTCATTATATAGAATTATAGTGATTTTTATAATTCAAAAATAAATAAGTTAATATTATTAAATTAAGAATTTAAGTACACTTAATTGTACTTTATGAATTGGAATATAATTATAATTATATTACACGAAATCATATAGAACGAAATCATGGATTATCTACACATATTTTATACAACATAAAAACTGCATGCATATATTTTACCTGTTGATTTTCCAATTCAATGGGAAATCATACAAGGCTTTTTTATTCAAAACCCAATTGAAAAAAATTTGTTAATCAAAATAGTTAATCGAACTCACAATCAAAATAGCCTTCTATAAAATTTTAAATTTCAAATTCGAAATCATCTAATTAATGCTAAGTTTAAATATTACTGAAATTAGTGAATAGAAAACCTAGAAAAAGTTGGAAAAAATAACTGTATGTTAAATTAATCCTTGAAATACTAAAGTTAGCTTTTATATAGGATTATCCTGGAAAAATTACCCCTCTTATTTAACGCTTTCCAAAACCTTTTAGTAAAAAGTTCTTTTTCTCTTAAGTAAAAATTTCTAAACATTTTTGATTTTACCAGCAATAATTTTATAGAGTATTGCACTCTTTACAGACTCACCCAATTTATTGAATTTCTGTAATCAAACAGGATTTCAAGTCAGTCCTTGTCGTGTTATATACAGTATCAAAATTACATCCAATTTATGAGGAAACAACGAAGCAGATATGCTAGTAAAACGGAAGGCTAAGTCCTATTTTGTCTGGCAGGAGTCCTTTTGCGAAATCGGACCAAGTAAAATGTGTGAGGTGCTAAGAGGCGAAGTGGAGGAGAGAAGGCTTGAGCTATGGGAAGTTCATCCGGGATTTCGGCAAGCAGAAGGGCTTTTGAGCAATTGCAACCGAAATCGCTTTAAAGTAATTATAAGAATGCCGAGGAATTATGTGAGGCCGAGGACACTATGAACTTAAGAGACATCTATGAAAATTGAGCTTGTAGGACTGACGGATCTTGTAGGACAACTTAGGTAGTTCCTCGATGGTGGGCATGTCATTGAGGGACATTTCCCCGGAGAACTTCCTCGGATTCACCAAGCATATGGGTCTCGGGAGAGTTCTCTAGGCAATACACTGGATGGTCTCTGGGATACACAATTGATCTTTTAAGTCGCGGTACATCGTGGCCCCATTCTGCAATCTACAATTGACATCCAATTCTATATTTCCTCAAACATTTATTTTTTTATATATTTTTCTCAATTACATAATATATAAATATACACTATGTAATCGAGCATTGCTTTTTGGCTACATTAATGCAAACAATTAAAAAACTTGAATTGAACTAAATTTAGATATCCTAAAGTATTTTTAATTTCACACTATCAAAAAGAAAATTTCTTTTTTTTTAATTTTTCGGCATTATTTTAAATTTTATTTTGTTTACATAATAGTTTTAAACTTTTTATTCCAATCAACATGAAAATTCGCCATCATTAACTCTAAAAATCGTTAATTATTACGATTAAAATTGAACTTTAAAAAAAAAAAACGAAGAACTTTATTTTAATTTCATGTTCGCATTATAGCATTCGGATAATATAAAATGTTCTTATTCATTTACTAGATAGTCAAGAGAAACTTTTTAATATTATCATTACTATTAAAATTGAAATTAATCGATACAAATTGAACACTTTTATTTCGATCTTCTACTTTTAATTTCTTATTAGTTAAAGTTTTCAAATTAAAAACTTTTTTCAAGATTAAAACTGTAAAAAGGTATTCTCTTATACCTAAACCAGGATATTTACACATACCTAAAAGTATAATACGATAGTTTATAAAGATAATTAAGCAGATTAAAATTTCCTCAATTGCTATATACGTACATATTCACATACATATTGGTAATATAATATATAGAGTGTAATTTTCCTTAATATATAAAAATTGTATAAGATATTTGAAAAAGTAATTAAAATTTAACTATATACTAACGAAAATTATACTATTTTACTTTTGAATAAGTTTCAACCACACTTCGGAATGTTGAAATCACAATTAAACTGTATTGGAATAAATTTACTAGAAGGCAAACCTCTAAAACTTGAAATAAGTTTAATGAAAAAGATCTTTAAACCTAAAAATGTAGATATTTAAATAGATATAGAACACTAATTGTAAATTTCATCTCTGAAATTCTCTCTTATATTCAAATATTTTTCAAAAAACTTTTTAATTTCCTATTTCGAATACTTGTAATGCTACGAGAAATTATGCTAATATTTTTGTAATTTTCTGCTTTGCATTTTTTGCAGGTCATTAATAAAATCTTTAATAATTTGTTTGAATATTTTAACTTGCTAAAAACGGTTTACATAACCTTAAATTTTTTTAATTTTTGTAAGAAAATAGAACTCCAACTTTCTATAGTTTTCTTAATTTCCTTTAATTGTTCAACGAAGAGCTTGCAATTTTCAAGCAAATCTACTCGTTTACGCACAAATGAAAAAGAGATGAAACAATGACCGGTTCTCAGTTTTCAAATTTTGCATATTATAAAAATAAATGCGATGGTTTTTATTTGGTTTTGCTTCTTTTCGCACTTCACAAATCTCAACGTCAATATTAAACAGAAATATGTTCATTAATATTAATATATTTTTGTTTTAGCTGGCAAATTGGCACTAAAGATTATATTATTTGATGGATTAAGAAAATTTTCTTTGGGGATATGTGATATACATTGGAAAAGAACATTGGACATGTAGTTGTCACAAGTTTCCAGCCAAAACAAGTGAAAAAGTGGATAAATATTGAATTCTTTCGAACGTAACACATAAGACGTGGTCATGAACGATACATACATGAAATGCTACAAAAAAAATTACTATAACAAACCCAAGAATACACCTAGTAGAACTGTTCTAAAATTCTCAAAGCTTTGCAAAACATTTCAAAAATTTTCTTGAGACTATTAGTGAAACCAATTTCTTGTGTTTTAAAATTGCAGACGATATCTCAAAATTTTTTTAAGAAACCTTTAACCTCTTTTAATTTTTTATGGAAACTAATGTATACATAAAAGGCAGTTTTTTTTAATTTTTCATTATATTTTTTATCTCAGTTTTCTTAAATTACATTAAAAATGGGTTTTTCAGTAAAGGTTCAAGCTTTTAGAGAGCATTGAACCTTTGATATCCAGACCATGTTAAGTGTTTAGATAATGTTCAATGAATT